TATTTTTTTATCTCTCTTTTGCTATACTGTTATATCATGAATTGAAATGTTTGTATTGAAATTCTGTATAGACACTTTTAATAAAAAATTTATTAAAAAAAAGAAAAGAAAAGAAATTATCTTCTCCATGTGCTGATGTTATATTTTGTCATATCTATACACTGCCTGACACAGGATGACAGCTGCCACTTAAAGAGTGGCTTGACCATAACATGGCTGCCGTAAAACATCTACTAGCCCTTGTTAAATCTGAGACTAAAACCATAGAAGTACATCAGGTTAATAAATGTAGTTTTCTCATATATTAGGAAGTGAAATACATGTATAGGTTTCTATCTTCTGTGTTTTCTAAGAAAATAAACTATTTCAAGAAAATAAACTTCACATTTCTTGGGTGGTTGAAAATCCCCAAATTCTCTCTCTCTCTCTCTCTCTCTCTCTAATATGCACACACACACACACACACACACACTACAAACTTTCAACAAATAGTACTATCACTTGCAGAAGTCAGCTAAAATCAGCTTCTTATTTAGACAAAAGGTCAGCTTTGCTGAGAATAAAAGTGTTGCCTGGATAGATATTACTGAAACAATTTCCTTTATCAGCAAATTTATCTGGGACAAATGTAAGGAATGTCTCCAAGATGTACACTATATTGTGAAATTCCTGCCTTGGGGGGAAAATGTTGGTGGTAAATCACTTACAAATGACCACTTGTAAGCGTGAGCATCTTAAATATTTTATAATGTAACCACTATTTTGCATCCTCTAGTGTTTGCTGCAGCAATTATTTTCACCGGTCCTTGGAAGGAGACAAATTAGAATTTATATACAGATATGGCCGCCAGAGTGGTCTAGTGGTCTGAGTGTTGGATTATGACTCTGGAGACCAGGATTCAAATCCCAGTTCGGTCATGAAATCCACTGAGTGACCTTCGGCAAGTCACAGTCTCTCAGCCTCAGGGAATGCAATGTCAAAACCTCCTCTGGATAAATCTTGCCAAGAAAACCCCTTGATAGGTTCACCTTAGGGTCACCATAAGTCAGAAGTGACTTGAAGACATACTGCAGCAGTATAATATGTCTGTACAAAATCAGTATGTTTGTGTTGGTAACAGATTACATTGTTCCAAGGGGGGGAGGGAGTCAATTAGACTGCAATTCTGGACACATTTCCCTAGACAATAATTCTGTATCCACTCAGCATGACTTAACCTTTAACTAGCTATGCACTGAGAGAAGGCAACCAACCACAGTTTAGATATAAATTAAATACATCTGAGGAAGTAGAATTAAGTCTACAAAAGCTCATGCTGCCAGAGTCTTTCTTTTAGTTTCAAAGGTGCTACAAGATCTCTCTACATACTAAAGATAAATTAAGTGATTTCTTTCTTTCTTTCTTTCTGCCGAGTAACTTGCATATCTCTTGCAATTGGGACCATTTCCTCGACTCGCTTGATGCCTTATTTCTCAGCTGGTTATCTCCAGCGTAATCTTGGTTGGCAAACAAAACTCGATCCTCGGCTCTCCAGAGACTTTAAACTGAACCTTTTGGGCAGGGTGACCAGGCTTGGTCCTCTTTTTCCAGAACCTGTCCTACATTTTAACCTCCTGCCCTTCTGTACATCCTACATTTCAGCCTTCTGTGCAGGAGGAATTTCCAAAGGTCCTCCATTCTAAGCATGGCTAAGAGAAACATGAATTGACATTTCTATGGTCCAAAACACACTGCAGAAATTATCCAGTTTGAGACTGCGTGAACTGCCCTGGCTCAGTGCTAGGGAATCCTGGGAAACTGTAGTTTGTTCTGTCACCAGAGCTCTCTGACAGAGAAGGCTCAATGTCAAACAAAACTATAGTTCCCAGAATTCAATCGCATTGAGCCAGGGCAGTTCAAGCGGTCTCAAACTGGATGATTTCTGC